TTTCCTTTGTGTCTTGCTGTTTGGAAGACACCTTCCTGTTGTAGGTGACTGCCCTTCCCCTGCTGTTTACCTACGCTGGCATCATTCAGACTTTGGCCCTTCCACCACAACGACAGGAGTAAACAATTGTATGCAAACTGTCCTGCAGACAGCTCTCAAATAACACAATGCAAACAATGGATTATAGGCTTTCTGTGAATCCTATAATTTCATTTATAGGAATGAGCTGCTAGTCTCAGTGCTAAGACTAAAACTAGCATTAAGGTTTCCACACAAGAATCACACGCTAAAGCACAGCACAATCCAAGTGATCAGTGACTACTTTTACAGCACAGGAAAAAGACCCTCTATACAATCATTTGGGAAGTGCTAATTCCTTTCCCTAATTCACTGTTAGTATATTGAATTAAAGCTTTTAAGTGTACAAACACTGCTCAGTAGCATGCCAGTATGACTGGTACAACTGAAACTCCAGGGCTCTCAAATAGGGAGGCACCATATTCAACCACTGGCCCCCTCACGTAGTAAGAACTGCAGAGTAGCAGCTTGACTGAATGTGTGTCAAGTACATGCCTTAAGACTGTATGTCATTAATAACAAGGAAACACGGGAGAAAATATTTGCACAAAACAGATTATTTTCTGATATAATCAATGCATATTCCAAACAGAATTAAGATAAAATCACATAACTCGGAGGGACAATTGCAGAGCATGCAGGTGTTAGATAAAAGGCTTCTGGAGTTCCTATGTTAGTTAAACAGATGGACTCTGGTAGAATAGTATAACGAAAACCGACTATACGCTTTCTTTGCATTGTGCTTTCAAACAGCTGCAGCTTCATTATTTTTACACAGAACAGGTACTCTTTGTACAGTCCAAGCCAAAAAAAAAAAAGTTGCTACCAAATCTCAGTAATTTCATCTGCACCTTCAGCCTCTATAATTTTCTTTGCTGAGTCATGTCAGCTGACTGGTCACACAAGAACGCATGTCAGTTTGAAACTTGTCATGGAGTAGATTAGAGATTTTTTGAAGGAGCTGAAGCTAATGTGCTTAAGCTATTGAACAAAAATGTCATATATGCTCTTTATGTGCACTTAGTTCTCCATATTAGATCATATGCATCACAGATTTCTAAGGACAAAATTGCTGATGAACAGCATATACACTCCTTTAACCACTACAGTTTACCTGGGAAAAATATTAGCAAATAAGAGTGTTCTTCAGACTGTAGAAAGCAAATTAACGTGTTACATTTTCTTCTGCTATGTAGTAACTGTTTTATAGTTGCTTCTCCAATTTTTTTCCTTAGTGATTTATTCTTGCTGAAAATTTTGGGTCTCCATTCTATTGATACAGCCCTGCAGTTATTGGGATAAATTCTGAGTTATCTTTTGACCTTCACATGCCCTGAATCAGTAACTATCTGTAATTATTCTCATTACTGTATACTACTTTTTACATGCTTTTGCTTAAGACTTATGTTTACGTGGTTTGCTCTATGCTGACAAAATATGTTTCTGCTGGAGACAGTCTGGTCTCAGCTCATGAAAACTGAGGTACTTATGGATACTAAACATATATTACACTACTTTTTAATTAGTTTGGCCTTTCTATATTTTCACTGTAACCCTAGCACGGTCTTAATTTAACTTTTCCCCCTTTCACTCACTTTTGTTATAGCAACTCTGACTCCATCCGAGAGGAAAAATGATCAATACAGTAGCGAGGCCTAATAAATAACATCTATACTGAAAAGCAAAAACAGATAAGCAAGCGTAACCCTTGAGCCAGTTTTAGCCACACACCCTACATACAGTTTTCTTCATGCATCCAAATTAAACAAGTATTTTATAAACTCAAGGCCTCATAAGCACAGGATGAAATAGCTTACTTTCCAGCCCATACTTCCAAGTTAGGAACTGACTGAGGAGAGCTTTTGGCTGGCACCTCGCCTTGAGGGGACCCTACGCTGCCTGCCCAGGGCCGCCATGTTGTCACCCCACAG